CAGCTTATGATGAATCTTCATATAAATGGCTCACAGAATTTTCTGAAGGAGATACATTTTAGTATTACAAAAAAAGTTCTCATCTAGGCCCTATTCAATCACAAACACTAACTGAGATTAGGGTTTAAATATGTCAAGGTGTTTTCTTTTTAATGCTACTGAATAAAAAATAGTGTAGCTATTCAGAAGTTCAGTTCTATAGCCACAGCTAAGACATCTTTTCAAATTCTGACTCTGACAACTTCCAGCTAAATAACCTGGGTGTGTGGTTTAAACTCACTACACCTCATTTCCTTATCTATAAAACAATAATAATACAATGATAATAAGGTCTACTTTATAAGACTTTGGTGATTAGATAATATTAGAAGCACTTTGTACATGGTGAATGTTTCATAAATGATAGTTATCAAGTGTGCAGACATAAGGCAGGAACTAGTAAATGTGAGACCACATAAGATACAGTTGTTGCTGTTAAATATTTCAAATCTTAACTAGAGAAATAGGATGTGAAGGCGATCTGGCTATGATATCTGTCACCCCATTGATCACTAGGATTAATTTGGCTGATATGGCTGGCTAAGCGGGTGCCCCCTTCCTCCCTCACCAATCCATATGCATCCCTCCCAAAGCTGCACTAGGTCTAAGAGGACAACCTTCCCAACTAGAGGAGAGGACCAGTCTTTAGTCAAGGGTATATGAGTAGCTGCACTCCCCTACTAGAACCTCCAAACAAGCTCTCAAATTTTAACTGGAGAAATAGGTATGTGAAGAAGGAATAACAATCCAGTGTTGATAAGTGTCAAACTCCAAGTATATAATGGGTAGTTCCAGAAGGGCATTTAACTTTCTCTGCAGAATGAAGTAGGAAAAGACTTGCTATAGGAGAGGAAACCTAAGAGTGAAGAACAAAGACTGCCCTGACTGGTGTCGCTCAGTGTGATGGTTATTGTACTGCAAACTGAAAGGTCACCAGTTTGATCCCCAGTCAGGGCACATGCCTCGGTTTGGGGTCAGATTCCTGGTTGGGGCCATGTGAGAGGTGACTGATCAATGTTTCTCTCACAAATTGATGTTTCTCTCCTCTTCCTCCTTCCCTTCCTCTGTCTCTAAAAATAAATAAGTAAATAAAATCTTTTAAAAGAAAACAAGGATAAGAACTAATGGGAGTTATCCACACAAAGCAGAGGGGAAACAGTAAAAAGTAAGGCTTTCCAGGCCTTGGCCTAATGTGAGTAAAAGCTTGGCAGAAGAGAAAAGCCAACAGGGCATTGATGAATATGGGAAAAGAGATTAAGAAGTACAAATTTCCAGTTATAAAATTAGTTATGGGACTGTGAATTAAAGCATAGGGAGTACAGTCAATAATATTGCAATAACTATGAAAGGTACCAAATGGGATCTAGACTTATGTCACTTCATAAAGTATATACCATATTTTTGGACCATAAGATGCACCTAGGTTTTAGAGGAGGAAAATAGGAAAAAAATTTTTGAAGCAAAAAATGTGGTAAAATATTTAATAACATAAATAAAATATTTCACCAATGTAAATGTAAACAGAACTCAACAGCAGCATTAACAACCATTATTCCTCCCAAATTTGGGGGGGTGCATTTTATGGTCCAAAAAATATGTCTAGTCACTACGTTATACACCTGAAACAAATACAATATTGTATGCCAACTGTAATTGAAAAACAAATTTAAAAATAAAAGCCAGCAGTTTGGGAGCATGAAATGGGTATGGGACACTGGGGGCCATTACAAGAATAGACGATGGAGAGGGATGGAGGCAGATCATTCAGGCCCTTGGATAGCCTGATAAGAGGCATAAATTTTCAACTTGGATAGTACGCTAAGAAGCATGGGTAATGAGGAACAATTTAAGGGTCTTAAACAAAGATAGGAATATGGTAATATTATGTTTCAAAAGATTATTTTGAAATAATATTATAAAGATTATTTTGAAATAATCTTTTGAAACATAATAAATTGCAGGAAGCAAAATTTAAGACAGTAAGATCAGGTGAAAAATGCTGATACCTTATGAAGATAATGGTTTGTGAGGATGAAAGGAAGAAGATGGATTTAAGATGAGTTTGGGATATAGAATATAAAGAACTTGGTGACAGACTAAGATAGAATTAAAGTTAGAGGTCAAAGAAGCTCCTGAATTTATGGTTTGGACAGTTAGGCCAGTGCTGGGTTACCCAGCAGCCAGAGTAAGCAGAGTACCCAAAATGTGGAAACATACTGATTTTGGATATATTATTTTAAAAAATACTTAATCATTATAGAAATATCAGAATATTTTAGACTTCTTTACCTTTTTATGCTTTAGTTTGAATTATATATTTCAAGAGAGGGGATCATAATCTTTTCATTAAGGCTTAATACTTCTCTGACCTGGGTGGTTAGTGGTATCATTTCACCAAGAACATGGACATTGGAGAAAAAGCAAGTTTTGGCTTCCTATATCTGTTATTCTTAGCCATGAGCAAAGGAAACGGCATGATTAGACTGGTAAGGGACTGAAAATCAGGTGGCCTAGGGAGACACCATTAAGGCAATTCACATAGCTCAGATCAAATGGAGTGTTTATGTTTAAAATAGTATGCTTCAAACGTGCAGCTGATGCTAAATGGAGAAATAAAGAGAGCTTATTTGCTGGCAAGACAGGTCATGAATGCAATCTGATATAATAATTAGAGATAGAAATCAAGCTATGGGTTCTCACCCTGGAGTTCAGGGAAATTTCTAACCTCTGAAATTATTGGCAAAATTGTCTGTGTGTGCATGTGCGCGTGCGTGTGTGTGTGTAGCACATTTTCATGGTTAGAAGTTTTACATCTTCAGATATTTCACAGTTGTCTTTGACCCCCAAAAGATCACCAACCACCAGTAGTAAACTTACTATGAAATAAATATGTCCTCTTTTTCAGAGTTTCTCACTTGCCTGGGACTCTTCCAAGGCCATAGGAGGAGTCCTAGCAATTTTGTATTGTGTTTACTTAAAGTGAGTGTTCCTTTTAAATGATATAAAGTGTCTGGTCCCACAAAAGCTGGATATATGGAATTTTGCAACATTACTTAGTATCTGGGAGTTGATGCCATCTAAGGTGAACGAGTGTAAAGAAAGGACTGTGAAAAGCCAAAGAGTGCTCTAGGAAAGACAAAAGGAGAAGCAATGCCAATCAAATAAATAGTTACTGAGGGAGAAGACTGAGACCACATTGTCAAGGAAGTAAAGTAGAAAGAGAGATGGTTAGCCATGTCCAACATGAATGGGAGATCAGGAAAGAGGAAAAATAAATTATTGCATGAGTAGCTAGGACACCTTCAAAGGAATTGGCAAGAAGAGAAAGCTGATTATTCTGTTTCGCCTTCTGAAAAAGTAAAAATGGTAGTTGAACAAGTGTAAGTGGTAGCTAGAGTCCACAAATGTGCAGGGAGATAAAAGTACCAACAGAAAACTCTAAATTTCACTGTTCAGTTAAGATAACATTCATCAATAAAGTAGGCTCACTATAAAATTGAGATTTATACTAAAGTTAAGTTAGATGGCACATGTGTAGTTTTCAAAATGTGTCCTAAATGTGTTCCATGGTCAGGCAAAGGCTTTGAGTGACTCTCATCCCCCCAGCTTCTAATTCTGTATACTAATCCACTCAGTACTTGAATTTCCATATTTCTGCTCTACATCTGTTTCCTAGCTAATGATATGGAGCAGTCAGGGTAGAAAGAGAAAAGAAGCCATAGTATGATATTTGAAAATAAAAGGCTTTAGATTTAAAATTATACTGGGTTACTCACAAAACTAATAATTCATGTATGGTTAATTGGATGTTGTCTGAAATTCAGGCCAAGGAGATACCTATTTGAACCAGAATGTTCTAAATTGGCCACCCTGGAAATTTTGAAGTTGATTGGTTTTAATTGAGCACACATGGTTTATACTGACCTGCCCAGTATTAGGAGTGTATTTTTTTAGTGTGAAATGCAGCCTTAACAAAGATACATGCTCAAATCTGCTGATATGTATTTTATGGAGGGTACTAGATACCATTTACAATATTTTCACAGAAACTTTCTCTGGGATCTATTTCTAGATGAACTAATTTCTTTACAGTTCTCAACTTAATTTCTACACTGATTATATTTTTAAAGGCTTTTGATTTAACTATTGATGTGGTTGTTCATAATTGTGTCACTATGAGAACTCTACTACCTGAGGACAATGACTTTGAATAGCTAATATGACAGAATATAATTGGGACATGGAAAATAGCTACAAATTAGAATGACTAAATCAAAGAAACTGGTTTGAGGTTTCTAAGAACTAAAAAATTCATAAAAAACAGTAATTTGTATGTCTTTACTAGCAAAGTGCTAGGTAGCAAATGATTAAAACCATTTTTAATGATAAAGATTTGTAACATTATTATTTGTTTTTTAATGTAATTCTTGTTGAAAGAAGACTGGAGTGTAATAAGACATGCTTCATAATGTATACATGCACATGAAAGATGTTCCAACTACTTGATAATTAGCTATGGTTAACATAGAAGCAATTCATAACACTTTTATATTTAGATAGCATAAGCAGTTTTAATTTTGGGCCTTTCTAATAGTTAGACTTAGTTTGACTTAAGTATTTCTTCTTTAGTAAGTAGTATTTGATCCAACAAGGTCAGTTAAATACAATAACAGATATTTTGTGGTTACATCATTAGATCGGTAGAGGACACAAATCAGTTTGCAGATTTTATTTGAATTGGATTTTGGAAAATTATAAATTATTTGGACATAACATTTTTTTGTCCAACTGTCAGCCACTTCTGCAAACAAAATTTTATTATCTGCAGTTAAATATTGTTAAAATTGTGTTGGAATCAACTGTCTTTCACATTTATAACTGTTTTTGATGAACTTAACAGTACAAATTTTAGATGCCAAAACTGTATCCCAAATAAATACATATTGACATTTTGCCTTTAGCCAATAAGAAGAAAGAGAAAGAACGCCCAGAGATCTCTCTTCCTTCAGACTTTGAACATACGATTCATGTGGGGTTTGATGCAGTCACTGGGGAATTCACTGTAAGTAAGCTTATTTTGTTTTGGAAGCCTTGCAAAAAATCCTTTATTATAATAGGTTTCAAGAAAGAATTGCCATGTGCCAAAATGTCATAGACTTGAAGTTTTTGATGGCAAGAATATTGGCAAAATAATGTTGTCCATCTTAACAAAAATGTCTGATGGCTCTGTAGTCTTCCACTTGATTGAAAATGCTAATTTACCATTGCATATAAGATGTAGTCCTAGTAGTTAGCCCCTGCTTGGTTGAATCTATTGTTTATATTTGAAGTGAATCAGAGAATCATTGACTCAACTTGGACAGTGAAGACAATCTTTCTGAATAATTCAGGCTTTACATTGAAATCTGGATTATCCAGATCAGATGACCACACACAGTAACCAAAAAAACAAAACAAAACAAAAAAAAACTCTGTAAAACTGACCTGTTTGCCCTGTAATTTCAAGAACATAGCTTATTTGGGGGCTTCACTGGTATTTTTTGTAAATACTCAAAAACAAACCCTATGTTTCAGGAAGAAACATTGATGGATATACAGATTATATATGCCTTAGTGGTTATATATATATCAAAGTAAATACCAATAAGAATTCTCTACAAAATTTCATATCTATAGATCCGGCCTATATTTGGATATCTGTAGTGCTCAAATTGCACAGGGTCTCAGATCTATGACATTTTATACTTAAGATCTGACATCTTTTTTTTAGATGGAAGAAGGAAAAGTTCTGCCTAGAAATATGTCCCCAAGAAGATCAACTCTCTTTCCCATACTAGTAAGAAACTCAGTCACACTCTGCATTCTGAGATAATGAATAATTTTGAATGCATTCAAACAAAAAAAATCTGTGATGTGACCATCACAATTGATTCATAGGTTCTTAAACCAGAGATAAATTTAGATTTAATAGTTGGATTTCCTATTATATAACATGATGCCTAGTGAGTATACTGTTATATGGTTACATGAAAATGTAAGAAAAAAAAAGAGATGACAAATTAATTTGATTTGAGAAAGCAAACCCTGTCTCAGAATTGATAACCAAATTAATTTTTTTCAATTCTGGGAGTAAACTATATGAGAATGAAATGGAAATTAGGTAAACATCTTGGATGTATAAAGTAATGTGAGATCATTATTTGTATATTCTCAATAGTAAGAAGAGAACATTAAGAAGTAATTGCATTGATAAATTTAATATACTAGCCCTGGATGGTGTTGCTCAGTGGATTGAGTGCTGGCCTGTGAACCAAAGAGTTGCTGGTTCGATTACTGGTCAGGGCACATGCCTGGGTTGAAGGCCAGGTCCCTGGTGGAGGGCACACAAGAGGCAACCACACATTGGTGTTTCTCTCTCTCTCTCTTTCTCCCCTCTCTAAAAATAAATAAAGTAAAATATTTTAAAAATAAATAAATAAATTTGAAATACTGGTAGGATTTAACCAATTTCATCACTGGAATCAAGAGACATTATTCAAATGGCCTTACAATTTGAGCCCAGCTTCTGCTGTTTACAATATGTGAAAATACTGTCTTAGTTATATTTAACAAATATAGCCTCATTGTCATTACTACCACACTATCATTACCACCAAATAATAATTTTTATAATCTTAACAAGTTAAGGTCTTTTTAAAAATCATAGATTGACTATTGTTTTCACATTTGTAATAGAAACATACTTGAACTTTATAAGTTTTGTCTAATATCTCTTCCCTTTTTAATTTGAAGAACTTTATTTTTCCAGTTTTTGATCTTTTTGTGTTCTATGTGTTTTCCTTATATTTAAATTTCTCTTACATTTTATTGTTGTTATTTTATATTTTTCTATTCTGTTTTTCTTCCTTTTTACTTTCTGATGTAAAAGTTCTCTTCTCTATTCTTCTCGTGTAACATTCTGTTTCCTTTCTAATTTAAATTTTTTTCTACTTTCCCCAACTTGTTTGACATCTTATACAATCTATCTTCAGCTACTTCTTGTTTCTTTATGGGTTTCAATGGAAATGACGAAAAATGAATTGGCATCATCTTGCTTAGTGCAGTCAGCCGTTTTAACTTCTTTATCAATTAGAACCCAAAGAACCAACCAGATAGTGATGGGTGGGATATGTGATGGGCAACTTTCCAATTACAAAAAAACACCACATTTAAAAAAATATTTTATTTATTTGTTTAAGAGAGGAAGGGAGGGAGAGAGGAAGGGAGGGAGAGAGGAAGGGAGAGAAACATCCATATGTGGCTGCTTCTCATGCTCCCCCTACCAGAGACCTGGCCCTCAACCCAGGCATGTGCCCTGACTGAGAATTGAACCCACAATCCTTTGATTCACAGGCTGGCACTCAATCCACTAAGCCACACCAGCCAGTGTGAAATTATTTGAAATAATGCAGTTGTTTAGATGCAATGGTGTATTAGAAATCCATTTGAATATATAGCTACAACATAGGCTAAATTTGGAAATATGATGCACTTTATTGTCATCTTGATGATCTTTTACAATGACTTGTCCACACATTACTTTTAAAGATGCCACATTCTGCCTTTTTTTACTGTCTTAACCTATTATTTACATTTACAAACTTAAAAAATACAAAATAACAATAAGCTTCATTTTAAGCTTTTAAAAATCATTTTGTTGGTAGAATTTAAAATTGAGCCCCAATTTCACAGTACTACTAATCCATTGATTGTATAGCTAATTTAATTATTGCAGTTATTTAAGTAGGATTTTGAGCAATTTGTTGAACTGACTAGTCCAGTTGTCTTACAGGGGCTTGTTATTTTGAATATTTGGACGCTGTTTGGATGTGTTGCTTGATGATTGCCCTATGGCTAATTGGCCCCTATAACCTTATATATTTGTTCATATACTTGGACCCTGAGATTAAAATTAAGTTGGGAGGTGAGATTTAGGGCATTAAACTATTAAAAGTCCTTACACTTTATATTGCCATTTTTGTCCCAAATACTTCAGAACTCCCCTTTCCAGTTCTCTAGATCTGTGATATTCGCTTCAAGTGAATCAGAAGGAAAAATGGTATGAGTGATATAAATGATCATTTATTATGATAAGATAGATGCTTGGCCTGTTGTATCATACTGACCTTCTCCTGGGCTACGCTGGACAATACCCAGCTTGATGTACATCTAGTTGTTATTGTATACATGTCCAGGCATTTATACCTGCTCCTGCTTCTCATGCTCTCACTTTCAGGTCTCCATTAGCTATCTAACTTTTGGAATTTGTACCTCAATTTGGAGTAATAGGGCAGCTTTCTGATTATGTGCCTTTGTGGCATACATTCAAATTTGAGTGTCAGGTTTTATTTATCAACTGGTTTATTTCAACTTAAAAAAATAAAATAGAAATTATGTCAGGCATGTAGTCATATGGTAAGTAAAGTTGTCTAGAAGGTCTTCTTCAATTGGCAGCAATTTTTCCCAGCTGTCTAATGATCACAAGACTACTTATTTATCACAAAATTTAGAAGTGCCATGAGAATGTATAATAACTGCAAATATTCTAATGATTATGGTAATGAACATGCTAGTGATGTCTGCTCTAGTAGTTATGTGCAATGTATACCTGGTTTTGTAACATTTAATAAATGCTTTGGCCATTACAGCATTAACCAGATGCTATTAATTGCATTGAGAATCAGAATGAGGATCATACATGGGCTCCTGAGTTCAAATTTTTGGCTTAAGTTTTTACCATCAAATTGCTTATTAAATGCATGTAAAAGCATTTTTAACTGTGCTTGGAGTAACCCCAAGCTAAGAATTAAAAACCTGTATCCCAGATTAAACCATTTGGGTCAAAACATGCTTTTATAGCATTGGAGATATCTTTACTTAGATAAAGTTGTTACCTTATATATGATCTTATTTTGTGGGAAGTGGGTATTCAGAACTGTAGAATTAAAATGAAAATATTCATATATGGTTTAAAATGAAATGGTTTCCCTTACCCTTGTCTAAATGTCTAAGAAATTCAAACAGTCTGGCTTTGTAGGAAATCCTCCATCTAGTTTTCTTTAAGCCAGTCATGATTTTAGCTACAAAGTGCAGAAGAATAACATCAATGAAAACAAATGTTAAATTTAACATCACCATATAGCCATCTTTTGACTTTTAGCCACATAGACACTTCCAATGTGAAACCAAAAATGGTTAACTAGAATTGGGCACTGAAATTTGTAAGTTCATAACGTGGCCATTGGCTAACTGTGATTGATCACCACTTAGGAAACAATTTACAAGTTATTGCTGAAGCTGTTCATAATGCCATTCTTCTTCCCTCCAAATTCATGTTTCTGCTTTTAGTAATTTTTCCAGTCATTTAATGTTAATTCTTATTATTGTGTATTTATGGAGGAAACATCTGGCCAAAAGTAGTGGAATTATACATCCAAACTTTGGAATATTGTTGTGTTCTCTGTTTTTTTTTTTAATCTGTTGCCCTATAGCCTGTCCTGCCCCTGATTTAGTTAATACCTCCCTATTTTCATAACCGCCCTACCTTAGATGGGATTACCTTCCCCCATTCAGACCCATTGGTTTCATCTCCTCCCACCTTCTAAGTTGTCCCACATTCTGTTTTAACTTTCTTTTCTTTCTTTATTTACGTCCATTACAGCCAGATCTCTATGGCTCACAGATGTGCCCAGGGAAGCTCCCAGAGGTGCGTCACAGGCCCAAAAGAAGCTTGCATCAAAGTGCTTCTTTGAGATGTCATAGCACTGCAGCAGCAGGTTCATGTGTGTGCAGTAGAGTTGTTGCTTGGCTTATCTCACTTTTTTGTTCTCATTCCCAAACTCTGGAGGCCCACGTCACACATTGTTTTGCCGAGACTTCATAGGACAAAGCCACACTTCAGTAATAGTGTGTCTGTTTCTTGCTCCAAGTTGCTCTTGGAGGTTGGATGATTATGAAATGGGGGCATCTGTATGTTGAACAAGTAGGAAGAATACTGAATGCTCAATGCAAAACTAACCTCTATGTATAATTTTTGCAATCCACCTTGGTTAGATTTCCAAATACTCCTTCCTCTCTGCTCTAATGCTTCAGATTATTGAAAATTCTTACAAGGCTTTGTCATAGTTGTCACAATCCCCAGGTTTCTCTGTGTGGCCAGTAAATGAAGTGGGGAGGAGGGGATGGAGGGAGGAGACCAGGAAGCTGCAGGAAAAATGCCCAAAGCAGCATTATGTTACTGTTTAGCATCTCACTGGTTATTGCTTTTCCACAATTCTTTGTCTCCTCTCAATCAACCTTTCTATTAAAGTTCTAGACCCCCCAAATTACATTTTATAATCACAAAGTATGAATTGACCAAGGGTGAGGTTTTTCTTTTATTCTAAAATATATTCTAATTACAACATGCCCAGAAACAGCTTGTATTATTCCAGTCAAATAAAATTTATTGATCTGCCCTATACTATTCTGTACGCAAATTGAGAGAAGTCTTGCTATGTCTGCCCTGAGTCACCAGAAAAAAATAAGCTAAGATGTAAACACCATTTCATGGATGAGCAGAGTTAATATGGAGGTGATTTTCGTGTGCTTTTTTTTTTCTATCACAGTCATACTCCCACCCACCCTTTTTAAGTTGGATCCTAGTTTTCCCTATGTGTTTTATTTAGAAAAGGGAATGATTGAGTTATTAAGTTACTAACTATAAATCTAGAGTATAACTTCAGTTTCCCAAGTGTAATTCTACAGGTAGCATGGGCTTCTTGGTGAAGAACTTTACTGGACCAGAAAATATAGCAGCTGAATGTTCTGATCTGCCATTCTTTTCCTTTGGTTGTCCACAGGGAATTCCTGAGCAATGGGCACGATTACTCCAAACGTCCAACATAACAAAACTGGAACAGAAGAAGAACCCACAAGCTGTTCTAGATGTTTTAAAATTCTATGATTCCAAAGAAACAGTCAACAACCAGAAATACATGAGCTTTACATCAGGAGGTAAGAGTAAATGTAGGCTGTCCAAAGGTGGAAAAAAATACTCTAATTAAAGAGCAGGATTAGAACAGAACACCTGTAAGGCATTTGAAGTCAGTTCTAGTTCTTTCTCCAAATGAGTTCAACAGAAGTAAACCAGAACATTAGTTGGAAATTGAAGTTGTTGTTAGGAGATTTACAGTGCTTGGATAATTTTAGAAATGAAATGAGAACATTGTTCAGTAAAGCATTAATTGTCAGTTTGAATCAGCAATCACAATTTTTTTTTGTCTCTTCATTAATATGAAGATACTCAGATACTTAGGATCAGGCCTTGTGATATGTTTATGAAGTAAGAAGTATATGGATCAAACCATAGCTTCTTAAAATTTATTTTATTCTTTGGAACCATTGAATTGAACCATGGTAACACAGCACAAACTTTACAGCTGCCAAGTTATTCCGATCAGACCTCAAAAAAGAAATCATGGCTTGCTATTTCTAAGAGGGTGAAAGGCCATGTGTCTTCCAGATTTTGACTCCACTTGCTACCTTGTAGACATGGACTTTATATGACACTTTGATATTCAAATTTGCAGTATAAGCAACTGAAATACACATACCAAACAATATTTCTGTGTTTTAAGGAAGATTATTTGGGTTGCCTCTCTAGAATAATTTCTCCAACATTTTTTTAATCCTCACCCAAGCATATATATTTATTGATTCCAGGGAAAGAAGAATGGAGAGAGAGAGATAGAGAGAGATCAATGTGAGAGAAACATCTATTGGTTGCCTCCCATATGTACCTGGCTGGGGACCTAACCCACAACCTAGGCATGTGCCCTGACTGAGAATCTAACCCATGACCTTTTGGTTTATGGACAACACTCCAATCAACTGAGCCACACTGGTCAGGGCTAGAACAATTTCCTATCTAACATTTAAAGAAAAAAGAGAATACTATCATTAATGCCCCAGTTATAAAGAGCCCATATTTTTTGGCACTGGTTCTTAGTTTAGGGCAAGCTTGATCTCTTCAAGAATGGTGCAAGAATGCACTTAGAAGAGAGGTTTCTAATTTGGCCATATCAAATATCAAAGCCCAAGCTTAAAGACATACGGTAATTTACATGCTAAATGGTACTCTTTTTAATGAGAAGATTAACTTCTGTTTTCCAATGGCAAAAACGTAAAAGAAAAGAAAGCCATCAAGGAGAGCTTTTAATGATATTTAGTCTATCACATGCAATAAAATATTGAAGAGATAATATTAATTATCTTTTATGTGACATATCAAGAAATGCTTAATGTGAGGAATCTACAGCTATGCTCCAAGTGTAATATACAACCATAGGCTATGAGAACCAAGGATGCATTCAAAAAATCATTTCAGTGTACTCATTAATACTTTCAGATTCTCAGAATTTGTCTTTATTCCAAGTTGCCACTGTTTTTTAATGCTTTTATTTTTGTTTTTAATTCTCTCAATTTACAAAAAAAAAAAACACCTAAAAAACTATGTTTAAACTCAACAGTATCTGAGTTATTACACTATTTTGAGTTGAGTGAAATACCACCATATGTTTTCTGGATGCTCTAATGCCACAAATGACTAATAGGATGAGGAGGAGAAGAGTAGTGGAGAGGAAAGATGGGTAGAAGGGAGGAAGGGAAAAGAGGGAGAGAGGAGAAAAGGAAGAAGTAGCAGACAAATTTTAGATATAGATGTACAAAATCCCCCCTTATCTGTGGATTTGTTTTTTGTGGTTTTAGTTACCCATGATCAACCATAGTCTAAAAATATTAAATGGAAAATTTCCGAAATAAATAACTCATAAGTTTTAAATTGTGTGCTGTCTGAGTTGTAAAATGAAATCTCGTGTGATCCTGTTCCATCCTGCCTGGAATGTGAATCATCCTTTGTTCAGCATATCCATACTGGGCACACCCGCTGCCTGTTAGTCACTTAGTAGACCTCTAGGTTACCAGATTGGCTGTGGTGGGATCCCAATGCTTGTATTCAAGTAAACCTTATATTACTTAATAATGGCCCGAAAGTTCAAGAGTAGTGATGTTGGGGGTTCAGATATGCCAAAGAAAACCCATAAAGTGCTTCCTTTTAGTGAAAAGGTGAAAGTTCTTGACTTAATACAGAAATAAAAAAAATACATGTTGAAGTTGTTAAAATCTATGGTAAGAATGAATCTTCTATTTGTAATTGTGAATAAATCCATGCTAGTTTTGCTGTCAGAGCTCAAACTGCAAGAGTTACAGTCACAGTGTGTAATGGGTGCTTATTTAAAATGGAAAAGGCATTAAATTTGTGGGTAGGAGACATAAACAGAAAACCTAGATTCTGTAAATTTTCAGTTAATGTCCTTCATAGGTTCTTGGAACTGCAGCCAAGCAACATATAATGAAACCAGTTTTACCATAGGCTAAATGATATAAATAAGAATTAAGTGTCTACAGTATCTCATCAACATAAGGAAGCAATGTTGAACAAAATGAAGTTATTCAAGGACCTACTGTGTGTGCATGTGTGCATGTACACACACACAGAGTTTGGTATTATCTCAGGTTTCAGGCTCAAATGTATCTACTACATTGGGGGGTTACTACTATACAGAATAATTGAAATCCAGGAGTAGATAATCTTAACATTTCTCCATATAGATGAGATTCACTGAAGACCTTCATTTTAGGTCTATAGATGACATGGTGATAATGTGCTGAGGATGTAAGGGTGTGAACTATATTAATAGAAACTATGCCATTTGTCATAATATCTATTTAATACTGAATTGGAGAATTTTATACTGGCCAAACACATGCAGATTTTTTAAGTATGGTTTTTAAAAATAAAGTCCTTATGAAACAAAGGTAATAGGTTTATCTTCAATTTTCAGATAAAAGTGCACATGGATACATAGCTGCCCATCCTTCGGTAAGTGAAAAATTGAAAACAGTTTTGTGTAGTCTGTTTCTGGTAGTCCAACAAAATGCAATTGTGCAGATCTAGTTTTTAAATGTAGAGGCTTTTAAAAATAGTTTTTAAAAGTATAATTTAGATACATATTGTATGATTCTACTTACATGAGTTACCTAGAGTAGTCAAAATCATACAGACAAAAAGTGGTTGCTGGGAAAGGCAGAGGTGGAAAGTTAGTGTTTAACGGGTACAGCATTTTAGTGTTGCAAGATGAAGAGTTCTGGAATAGGTTGCACAACAATGTTGAATACATTTAACACTACTGAACTGGACACTTAAAAGTAGTTAAGATACTAAATTTTATGTTATGTATGTTTTACCACAATTAGAAACAAGATTTAAAAAGGATTTAAGGTCCTGGATATAGGTGTTTAGTCTTATTTCTCCTCTTACAAGCTGAGCGATTTTGGGAAAATGGCTTAGCTCCTCTGAGCCTTTCTTTCCTCAGCTTTAACTGGGTGTAACAGCACATACCTCCTAAAACTTGTGTGAATATTGAATGTGATAATGCATATGATACTCTTAGTACATACCAAGAACATGTAATATGTTTATGAAGTGTAAGCTACTATTACTATTATTTTTAGATGGCAACAAGAGGAAAAACTTCCTCTCTCCGTACATAAGGCTCATATGCTGAGGCTCGTGAGGTGATAGTATTTGTACCTTGCTCAGATTATACAAAAGAAAACAGAATATAGCCCTCATATTCTCACTGGTCATGTCCCCTTCTCCTTTTTCTTTGTCATGACAGTTTATTGGGCCACACTGAAAACAGCATGTGAAGGGAAGTAATAGCAAAGTGGGAAAGACAAGAATGTCAACATTCCATGTCCCTTGATTTAATCAATATCATTATTGTGTAATACTGACTGGGTATCCTGGCAAATAAAAAGTTGTTTTTTACATAGGTCAGTTATTTTAAATACCAATCTGCTAGGATGGTCTGTGTGTTGATTTTTATTTTGTAAGTAGTTAATATCTCCTAAGATATTGGCATTTTTGAGCATGCTTCTACTGGTTTTGCTTGTCATACTAACACTAATCTACATAATGACCAAAATATTCTATCAATTCAGAAAAATATGATGATCTCACTGTTTGAAGATAAAACCACAGGGTATTCACTTATTAAACTTATATTATTAAGGTGCTTCCTTAAAATCACTAGGAAATTTGGAGCATATGAATATAAACAAACTCAATACAATATGGATCATGTTATATACCATGAAATGTGTTCATTTGCTATGAGAGAAAAGAGATTACTTTTAGCTGGGGAAGTTAAAGGAAGCCCTTCTCCAAAAGGCTTAATCTCAATGCCTGGTACAAAATAGTGCTTGGTACATATTTATTCAAGGTTGAGTTAGAAAATAGTTTATATAAAACAGGGCATTTGGGCTACATCTTGAGGGTCAGATGGGATTTAGATCTGTAAAGATGGAGAAAGGCATTCTAAGAAAAAGGAAAAGCATGAAAAAGGACATGGTAGTGAGGAAAGCAAGGTGACTAAGGGGTGCAGATTTGAATGAAGACTGAGATGCAAGAAAGTGAATCATAGGAATTAAGCCTGGAAAATTAAGTGGGAGCCAAACTGTAGAGCCACTTAAATGGTATTCTAAGGAATCTGGCTTTCTTCAGTGTATAGTGGAAAGCTCTTGAAAATTTTTGGAACAGGAGTGTTAGATAATTAAAGCTTATGCTTTGAAAAGAGTAGTCTGTCAGCAAATGTCCAGAATACATTGACTGAAGTTGAGACTGGATGAAAGAAGACCAGTTGGGAAAGCATTGCAAGACTCCAGGCCAGAGGTAATGAGGTCGTATGTGAGACGGTGAAGGTAGGAATGGAGAATGGAGATTAAAATCAAATTCCTGAGATGTTTAGGTTATTGATTGGATGTTGGAGAAAAGGTTGATGTCAAAGATGATTACAGGCTTAGAATGATATGTACTTGGCCAGAAAGATGGGCATGTCATCTTTCAGGAGTTGCAAATTTCTGTGAGAAGATGCTGGGTTTCTTCTTGGATGGTTTGAGTTTGAAGGGCAGGAAGGACATCCAGGTGGGGATAATTAATTAATTACACTGCTTGACTAAGGTTGGATTTCTACTGATTTAATGAACTCAATTAGACCCTTAAGTTCAGATTGGAACATTTCAGTGGGACTCAATTACTTAGGAATGGAGAATTGCACCTTGTGTCCTCCTTATGGTTCTAAGGGAAGACTTCACACTGTTTATTATTATTATTATTATTATTATTATTATTATCATCATCATCATCATCATCATCATTATTGTTATTGTTATTATTTTGTATTAGAAAACTTCCAGTGATCCTTGCTATCCTACAGAGTCTGATTTAATGGGATCAACAACCGCTTATAAATATAGCCCGAAGTGATCACAAGTTTTGGCATCCTCTGTGCTACTAGAGTGGGAATTAAAATAGAAGCAATGTTGTACTCACCAAATATTTTTAAATACTGTCTATATAATTAATATTGCATTAAGCAATACCTCCCATAGTTATATGACATCTGCCTTACTGCTCACTTATGGTTACTTCATTGGTATTAGTATATTTAAATGCTAAATACTGTTCATAGACTTACTCTTCAATTTGAGGCTTTTTAAATATTTTATATTTTTATTGTACTATTGAGAGTGAAATAATGCATTTAGAATCTTGGGCTAGTATTCCAAGTGGAAGGTAACAGCAAAAATATGAATACACCATAATTTGCACCTAGAGAATCTGGATGTAGAATTGACAGATAATGCTTTTGATTTTTAGTACCAGTTAACCTTGTCCATTTAGATTAGTGGTTCTCTTACTTCTTTCACTTTGCATCAGAATTGCCTGGGGAGGCTCTTAAAATGCAGAATCCAAGATTCCACTTGAAGAGTAGATCTTAAACAGAACTTTGATTTCTGAATTTTAAATGAACACCAAAAGTGCCCCACAGATAACATTTTGCATTATCTAAAGTCTCCAAAGTCCTCATTTCTAATTCCTTTGACCTTTAAAAATTAAAATAGAAAAATAAATAAACATAAATAAAAACAAAATAGCTCAAACAAAGGAGAGTTTTCTGAGATAGTTCCTTTAGCTAGTGTACTCTTTAGAGCAGGGTTTATAACTTGAAGTCCATGAATGGGCTTTAGAAGATCTATGAACCCTTGAAATTATATGCAAGAGCATATATATCCTTGTTTTTTGCAGGGTTGATAAGCCAAACCCTTCAGAATTCTAAGAGTCCAGGACCCAACTCAGGTCAAGAATTACTTCCCCTGTCCCAGTGTATGGCATAATAGGGACGTAACTAATACCTAATTTCAAAAAGAGAAATAATTCTTTACTTGCTTCCCATCTATCTTTATTTTTATAAGTTTAGACATAACTATTCTCAGCCTGGAAGGAAAAGTGTAGGAATATTACACATTTGACTTCCAAAAAGGCCACCAGGAAAACCGATTAATCAAGCTGTTTATTAAACTTACAGCGGTAAGAAAGAGACCTACTCCAATAGTCTTAGCTGTTTCTTAGAAAGGGGATGTTAAGGGAGAATATTTATAGGGTTTTAGTGCATGGCTGTGTGATTTTGAACCAGGTCTTACAAGATAAAGAACAGGTTAAGATTCTACAGTGTTGTAGATCAAAATAATGTTAAATAGCTTTGGATTGGCAAATGCAGTGAAATGAAGGGATCGAAGAGAGTCTTGGTAAACAGGCTGTTCTTCTTTTTGTTGAGCCTGTATCAATATCATCTGGAAAGCTTATTATAACAAAGATTGCAAGGCCCCGCTTCAAAAGTTTCTGATTCATAGATCTGAATTGAACCTGAGAATCTGCATTTCTAACAAGTTTCTTGATAATGCTGATGATGCTAATCTGGGGACCACAGTTTGAGAGCCATGACCATAATTCTTTCAAAACCCAGCTTTGGTACCATTTTACCAAATGATGAAGTGACCCTAGATGCTATGGTTGTTGTTATTTTTAGTGCTGGTATTACTGTATTTTTTAAAATTACAAACCACCATTTACCTGTTGGTTAAGATAGAATAATTATTTATGTAGATCTTGATGTCTGTTACTCTGTGAGTAGTTGATCTCAGGAGGCTGAATGGGGAAGAAACATTCATGGGCTTGCCTGTACTTAGTATTTGCAGAACTATGTTAATACCATATCCATACATATGCTCTGATTTTTAAACACAAAATAGCCCTTTTCTCCTTAACAACCTGTCAATATACAAATGTATACAGTATACAAATTCAAAGCTTTAATAATAATTAATTTGATTTTTAAAATATATTCATTGATTTCAAAAAATTGAACTTTAAAATAGTAAATGAATATCTGTCACTGTTTTTTAGTTCGGTGAAAAATAAAAATAGCATTTTTTAATGTCATTCTGTTTAAACCATGACCTGATTTATTTCTGAATGGGGGCAGGTCCTGGGCACCAAATTTTAGATGGTTGCTCCTTTGTTAAAAGATGCAGTTCCCTCTTAACCCTACATAGTTAAATATTTTATTTTCCTTGTCTCATTTTTGAAGGAAAGCAATGAGGAGTTAATACCAGGTCTTTTAACTTTGTTTTTGTCATAAGAGTACAAAGACAGCATCAGAGCCTCCTTTAGCTCCTCCTGTATCTGAAGAAGAAGATGAAGAAGAGGAAGAAGAAGAAGATGACAATGAGCCTCCACCAGTTATTGCACCAAGACCTGAGCATACAAAATCAGTAAGTCACAAGTGACTATTTCCAAATGATTCAAAGATGTCCTTGGGAAGAGTCACATGGTCAGAATCCAGTTAATCAACCAGTACCTACTGAGCATCTTACTATGTTCCAGAACTTGGGGATGCAAGATTAGTATGTGATAATTAGAGAATAATACCAAACAATATACAAATAAGTGTTAAGTTATAAAACTCCTACAGACGTTAAGATGGAGAAAAAAGTCCCTATGAATCAGTTAGGAAGACTCGCATAAGCAGAGGCACCAGTACCAGAATTAGCACAGCATATATAGGGGTAGCAAAGGACTAGATCCTCAGAGCTTCTAAGGGCAGTGTACTTGAAGCAACTTAAAGTTCTTTTTTAATGGAAATAATTTGTCTTTAAAAACTCATTGAGGGATGAGGTGCAGGATAGGAGGAAGGGTGAGTGGGCAGAGCACAGAAAATATTAACAGCAGTGAAAATACTCAGCACATTACAATAATGATAGATAAATGTCTCTATACATTTGTCCAAACCCATAGAACATACTACACTGACAGTGACTGTATGTAAATTATGGAATTTGAGTGATTATGATGTCAATGTTGGTTCATCAGTTGTAACAAATGCAGCAATCTGGTAAGGATATGTTGATGATATGTGAAGCTACGCATGAATGGGGTCAGGAGGTATATGGGAAATCTATGTACCTTCCCCTAAATTTTGCTGTGAACCTAGAGCTCCTTAAAATTTATCTTGATTTAAAAAACCTCACTGATATGACAGTGTCTTGACTTTATACCTTTTCCTTACCCTGCTGTTTTAATTGTAGAACTATTTTTTCTTGCCTCTAAGATCTACACTCGTTCTGTGGTTGAATCCATTGCTTCACCAGCAGCACCAAATAAAGAAGTCACGCCACCTTCCACTGAGAACGCCAATTCTAGTACTTTGTATAGAAACACAGATCGACAAAGGAAAAAATCCAAGATGACAGATGAGGAGATTCTAGAGAAGCTGAGTGAGTCTTTTGCCATCATTACTTTCTTCATGGAATGGTTTCTCATAAAGTAGAATGAGAATTGATCCTTTAGAAATTTGAATCTGCTTGCATGAACTCCAGGCTCCCTGAAGTCATGTGATTTAAAATTGGAGACTCACTGTGTATTTTAGATCATTCTCTACCTCACAATTTTAATTTCATAGAAATTAAATATTTTCACTTGGAAAAAATCAACCAAGCTGAAAACTTGACATGATTAATTTAGTAAATTTTACTTTAAGATTACACTCCCAAAAGGATTAAAATAGGCTGATGACATATCTTATGATCATACCCCAAGGGTTCTGATTTGACCAATCAATCAAGACAAATAAGTCAATCAAAACCCAACATGGTCAATAAAAACTGGCAGCCACAATAATACAGCTTTTTTCTTTAGTTTAGGAGCATGTCTCTGTGAAGAGGAGGCAGGGCCAACACATGCCAGCAGTTTCTTTGTCACAGTGTCATTAGTGTGTACATGTTTGTGCATACACATTTACTCCAGTTTTGCAAAACACTCTTTCAGTTAGCTTTCTGGATCAAAGAGACCTAAAAAAAAAACCAAAAAACATTCTCTGCTGAAGAGTAAAGGTCTGTGAAATATACTTATATTCATTAAACTTAACATTACAAAAGCCTTTAATAAATTGCTAGTTATCCACAGTCAGTGCCCTCAATCTGACTCCTACTTATCTTCAAAACTCAGCTCAAATGTTTCCTCCCCAGGAAATCCTTCCTTGTCTTTCCCAGTCTAAGTGCTCCTCTTCTTTGCTTCCTTTATGGCAGAAAATATCACATTATATTAGTCTGCTTCCTTCCTTCATTTAGACTGTGAGCTCCTCAAAGGCAGATGCAGTATCTTCTTTACCTTTATGTCTAACTGATAAAGTGTCTAGTACATAAAAGCTCTTAACAAATGCTTCTTGAGTGAATGGATGAAAAAATAAGGAAACAAATATATCTTCACTGGGTTCTTCCTTGTGGGTTCTATGCCAGACTCTTTGGAGGAAACAATGGAAAAACAATTTCTTGCCATCAGAAAACTTGAATTACAATTCAAGTTTTTTGTTGATTACAATTTTATCTGTAAGATAAGGATTAAATGTGGGAGATAGGGGTCGGTAGGGCAGAGGGGAGTAATGGGGACAACTAAATGAACAACAATAAAAAAGAGAGAAAGATTTAATAGTGTTGTACAATTAAAGAATAGGAAGTCATTTTATTTCAAGCAAATGTCTGTCTAAAATACCTCAGAACAAGGAAGAGAGCAGCTTAGGGGAGTTATAGGTCCTAAGAAGACTCTGCAGAGGTGGTCGTAGGGCCATTTTGCCTTCTGGTGGGCATTTGGGAATGTCTAGAGACATGTTTATTGTCATGACACAGAGAGTGCTTCTGGCATCTAGTGGAATAGATTAGGGATGGTTCTAAATACTCTAGAATGTAAATGACAACACCCCTCCTTTCCCCTCTGCAACAAAGAATTATTCAGCCCTAAATGCCAACAATGCTATGGATAAGACATTCTGAGCTCAAAGTATCTTAGAAAGGCAAAGGTTTGTGTTGCAGCTGTCTGTGAGTACTCAGAACTGGAATTGCTGAACTTTAGCCAACTGAATTTAGCAGACATGATTAAATATACCTCTAGTATAATGCCAGCTATCTGTTGTAGTAGCAATAGTAATTATTCCCATTTATTGAGCACTTTTTGTGGTGACCTCTTTACATACATTATCAACTTTAAGTTTCACAAATAATCCCTTGTGGTAGATTTTAATACCCTCGTTTTACAGATCAGTGGAAGTATGTCTCAAAAAGTTAAAGTGACCCGGTCACCAAAGTAATGAGTGACAGACAGAGTTTGAACTCAAATCTGTTTGCTTTTGAAGCTTACACTATTTCCATTACCAACTTTGTGTGCATGCCCCAACTGTATATATGTGTAAAAGGGAAGGAAAAATAAAAGAATTGCCTGGATACTTTTAGTTTTATTATTCAGAGAATTGCCTATTTTTTTTTCTTTTTTATTGCTGTTCAGGTACAGTTGTCTCCATTTTCACCCCACAATGGCCCCACTTCCCATCCCTGCATCCCTCCCTCAAACTTACCCCCTTTGGCTTTGTTCATGTGTCCTTTATGCATGTTCCTTGATGGTCCTTCCCCTATTATCCCCTATTATCCCTCTCCCCTCTGTTTGCTGTCAGTTTGTTCTTTATTTCAATGTCTATGGTTATATTTTCCTTCCTTGTTTGTTTTGTTGATTAGGTTGCAGTTATAAGTAAGGTCATATGATATTTCTCTTTCACTGCCTGGCTTATTTCACTTAGCATAATGCTTTTCAGTTCCATCCATGTGGTCACAAAGGGTAGGGGCTCCTTCTGCTGATGCATAGTATTCCATTGTGTAAATGTACCACAGTATTTGGATCTACTCATTTACTGATAGGCACTTAGGGTGCTTCCAGCACTTGGCTATTGTAAATTGTGCTGCTATGAACATTGGGGTGCATAGGTTCTTTTGGATTGGTGTTTCAATGTTCTTAGGGTATAATCCCAGCAGTAGAATTGCTGAGTCAAAAGGCAGTTCCATTATTAGTTTTCTGAGGAAATTCCATACTGTTTTCCACAGTGGCTTCACCAGTTTGCATTCCCTCCAACAGTGAACTAGGGTTCCCTTTTCTCCACAACCTCTCCAACGCTTGTTGTTTGTTGATTGGTTTATGATGGCTATTCCACTGGTGGGAAGTGGTATCTCATTGTGGTTTTACTTTGCATCTCTCTGATGGCTAATGATGCTGAACATCTTTTCATGTCTCTGGGCCCTTTGTATGTCCTCCTTGGACAAGTGTCTGTTCAAGTCCTTTGCCCATTTTTTAATTGGGTTGTTTGTCTTCCTAGAATGGAGTTATGTGAGTTCTTTATATATTTTGGAGATTAAACCTTTGTCTGAGGTATTTTTAGCAAATATGTTTTCCCATAAAGTTGGTTCTCTTTTCATTTTAATGCTGTTTTCTTTAGCTGTGCAGAAGCTTTTTAATTTGATGAGGTCCCATTTGTTTCTCCTTTCCTTTATGTCCCTTGCTTTAGGGGACATATTGGTAAAAATATTGCTCCATGGAATATCTGAGATTTTCATGTCTATATTCTCTTCCAGGACTTTTATGGTTTCATGACTTATATTTAAGTCTTTTATTCACTTTGAATTTATTTTTGTGTACAGTGTTAAGATGGTGGTCAAGTTTCATTTTTTTGCATGTAGCTGTCTAGACCTCCCAACACCATTTGTTGAAGAGGCTATTTTTACTCCATTTTATGCTTCTGCCCCCTTCATTGAATATTAATTGACTATAAAGACTTGGATTTATTTCTGGGCTTGTACATGTAGACATGACCTATTGGATTATATTAGATGTTGAAAATCTAACAGCCTCACTTTAGCAAAAATGACTGTTATTTGGTATCTGTTTTAGATTTATTATAATTAAAATGCATTTATAGCTTTCTTAAGTTCAGTAACAGAGAAACAAGCATTATTTTCTTGGGCCAAAAACATATTGCTTTGTTTGTAAACTGTAATGGTATTGGAACTGTAGACTTCATAATTTGTTGTTTACTCTGTTCTGCACTGAGCAACACAATGAGGAGGAGAAAACTACTTTTGATTGTATTTTAAATTATGAATTAATTGTTTTCTTCTCTATTGGAGAAAGCTTGGGTCTAGAGAGAATCATTTTCACTCTAGTCAGTTGGCCACCTATAATTGCCAACCTTACCTTGTACTTACAAGGGAGTAAGTACAAGGACGGGAGAACCTTCAAAGAAATGGGAGATTGCTTCTCATGAATCGGATTTAGACTGAGCTATAGTGCATAGTCTGCAAAGTCAGTCTTTCCTACTCCTGCTCCATTAGCACTGTCTCCCTTCCATTTTCTCACTATGTGACCTTTGACAAGTTATTTAGCCTCAGCCTCAGTCTCTTATCTGACCAATTGGGGTACAAATCATAACTACATATTAATAGTCTGTCTATAGCTGGATTTTATGTAGTTGTATCAGTGGTGGAAAGGACAGGTATTGGAATCAAGCCCAGATTTAAATTATAAGCCCATTGCTGCCAGCTGTCTCACTTTGGGCAAGTTATTTAACTTTTCTGGGGCTCTTTTTCCTCATCTAAAACATGGGGATAATACTAGTACTAAATTTATAGCATTATGATAATTAAATGAGAATAATGCATATAAAAACCTTATACAAAATAGTGTTCAATAAGTGGTAATAACTATTTTATTACATAAGTATAAAGCATTATTAAACTAATACAATGAGGCAGGCTTTGAAATGAATCATAACTCAGTTTCAGTCATAAACCTAGACTAGCTATGTGTCCTTAGGCAAGTCACTCAACTTTGCACTTCAGTTTCTTCATCTGGAAAATGGAGATAATAATAATACTGGTATAATAGGGATTTTGTAAGGACCAAATTAGGTGTGAAGTATATAAGATACCTAGCACAATAAATAGTAGTATATTATTATCATGCTATTTTTGAAAAATGGGAGCAAGCATATTTTTTGATATAGAAAATGTGGCATAAGGTCTTCCGTGGAACAGATTCTTTGAAACCAGGAATAATTTCAGATATATTACCCCTGTACAGAAGTCCTTGAAAACCTTGGAATCAAGGCCCTCACTGGAGCTTGGAGAAGCAGTAGAGAAGCCTTGGTTGAGAGGTAATAGAAATGGGGAAGGGAGACAGGGAGGTAGAGGAATGGCTTATAGCCCATACAAGAGTGGACTCTCCACCATAAGCAGAGGTAAAGGTGGCTATTCCTTCAGTCTCAGGGATCCAATTACTATGAGGTGAAAAGCCCAGAAAAAAACCTCTCCAAGCTGTTTACCTTCCATGCAGACACTGATTATAGAGGTTAGATCAAGGATCAATAATGGCTGAAATGGACAGGTAATGTTTCAGTTTTATATTGCACTTACAGATAGCCTGGATATGACTTCTTCATTGTGGTGTGTCTGAATCTATTGGAAACATAAAGAAACCCCTAGATTTCAGTGAGAATTTTCAAAAGGCACTGACAGCAAAATTGTGCAATGCAGGAAATTTGTCCTTGGCCTTTCTCCTCTGGGCCCCCAAATCACAACCTCCTCTTGTTCCTCCCTTCCCCTAGCATTCCTCACTCAATACTCATTCCAGTTTCCCTTCAGATAGAACTGAAATTAATTTAGAGCTTATTTTTCTTTTTTCTCAAGAATCAAAACCTCCATTATACTAAATAAATAATGTTTTAATAGTTAGAATTCATCTTAGTTTAAAATGGGAGATAATATATTGATAGGCTTTTCTGTCACTGAAACCACATCATGAACCCTAGTTCCAAATACTAGTATTTAGTGATTTCTTAAATCCTTGTAGTTTAAAATGAATAGTTTGTTTCTTATTTAGGAAATTGCTCTAGTAGGAATGGTTCTGGTATTGCTATCAGATTTTTCTCTTGATTTTGAGTTGCTGATTTTTGTCACTTCTCCCCCATTGCGTCACAATGATTTTTACCTTTATTAAAATATATAAAGTGAATTATAATGGCTCTGATGGAAGAGGTCACTTTGAAAACTTGTTTTGTGATTTAGAATACTAAATAAGACTTCATGTGTACTTACCTAACATCAGTAGATGGCAGCAAACACTTTCCTGTGAAGGGTTATGGATGTGGGGATTCTGTTTTATTTGAATAGCAGTTGAATTCAGAAACAGTATCTCATCAAAATGGTAGTCTTTTGGTAATCCTCGGTAAAGGGTTTATTTCTAGTTTATTTTACCATTCATACCATGGAAATAAAGGCTGAATAACTTACTACCATGAAACCTCATTAACTGAACCCTGCCAATTGGAATTGGTAATAATTTAAAAAGTGGTTTGGGCTGAAGCTTATTTGCCTTTGTTCATTATATTGAAAAGAGTTTGCTCAGCAACTTAATAGTATAACTTTTTTAAAAGACTAGAAAAAAATACTTAATAGAACTATGGTTTCAAGGGACTTTAAAATCATTATTTCCTTTAAAAATAAAGAAGTAGTCCAGGTTCTTACCCATTAATAGCTATCTTGGATAAGGATAGTTCTCAGTGATGTAGAAATCTGTGAGACAATTTGAAAAAATTGAGAAGCGACTCAGAAACTGTTAAATTGGTGGCATTCTATAAATATAATTCAAGTAAAATACATTCTGCAGTGTCCTAAAATATGAGACATTTACAAAAGGTACATATATACAATGGAATACAAAAGAAAATGCATAATTTTATTTCAATTTAATTCAACAGACATTTATTGAATACCTAATATATACCATACACAGTGCTGTGAGAGGAGACACTGAAGATACAGAGATGAATAAGACATGGCTTCTGTACTTAAGACACAGTCTATAAGGGGATGGCAAATAAATAGATATAGATATGTGGTGTGTTAGGGAGAGAGAGAGAGAGAGAGAGAGAGAGAGAGAGAGAGAGAGAGAGAGCGAGCGCACAGTAGTCCAGAGAAGGGATATTATTAACTTCATTCAAAAGAATCAGGGAAAGCTTCCAAGAACTGGCAAAAGTGAAACCGATTTGAACCATGAATAGGCACTTGCCAGGAAGACAACTTAAGAAGGATATTACAAACAGAGAATAGCATTTAAAAGAGGTATGAAGACATATATGTGGGAACTTTAACTTATTCAATGTCACTTGAATATAGAATTGATTGCTGGTGGATAAAGGGACTGGAGTTTTAGGAGAGGAAGCTAAATTATTAAGCAGGAGCTGATAATGAGCTACAATTGATTGGTTATGGTCAAAGCATAGGGTTCTATGGGGAAGTGGTGAGATGAGATGTGAGAATAAAACAAGAACCAGATTATGAAAAACCTTACATTACATGCCAAGGAGTTTGAACTTGACCCTGTAGGTGTTGGGGAAGCATCAGTGACCCCTTGGCCAAAGAATCATATGATCAGGTCTACACTTAGAGCATCTTCACAGAGGTATGAAGCCTAGACTGAAGTGGGCAGAGGCTGGAAATAAGAAGTCCAGTTAGGAGGCTTTTGAAATAGCCCAGAAAAAAAAAAAAGGAAAACCCAACTAGAATAGTAGTGGTGAGGAAGGCACAGATTCAAATAGCATCTAGAACATAAACAGATACAGGCCCAGGACCCAGTGAACAGTTGTATGTGATGAGTGAAGGTAAAGGATAAGTCAAAGATGCCTCACAGTTTTCTGACTCAGGCTACTGAATAGATGGATGATAGTACAATTGACTGAGATTGAAAGCTACAAGAGAAAAATAATGATAATAACTTATATTGTACAAGTGTTAATTTAACCTAACTGAAACATGGACTCCTATTACAAAAAGCAAGCACCCACCAAAAAAAAAAACTGATTAACAATCCATGAGTGAAACATTTAACTGTTTTTCAAGATATACTGTCTACTGGTAGCTTTAAGTTAAGTTGTTCACTAGCTCAGAAAATGGACCATTGTCTAAATGAATGTGAGGCATTGTCTGAAGTGCAGTTTAGTACTTGAAACATATTTTTTGTTCTTAATTATTTAGCCAACAAATAATTGTTCAGTAGAAGCCACTATTCTAAGTACTGAAGTTATATGGAGGAAAATACACACTTGTTTCTCTCAAGAAGAAGCACATGAGTCTCATTAGAAGGATGAGAAAAGACTTCACAGAGAATGATTTGCAATTGTATTTAAGTGGTAAATAGGAATTCATGGGTTAAATAGGAAAGGGAAAGTGGGGACATCTGCAAAGACCTAAGCCTTGGATAGTAATAGTGTTACTAGGATATAAAGTTGGAGGGAGTGAGAAAAGAGGAATATGAAATTAGACTGGTCAGGTAGGAGCTAGATGATACCTGATAGTAAAGAGCTTTCTATGGCAGACTAAGGAATTTGAACTTGATCCTTTAGTAAAGAGGAACTTTTGAAGAATGTAGAACAATGTATTGAAATCACTCCGAATTAGGTTGACCATGCATTTCAGTTTATACTGAAGTCTCAGATTATGAATTTTATGTTACCCTATTTCAACAGCATTATGAGAGAGGAATTAGAAAATGCAGATAACAACCAGAATGATTTTTGGAAAAGAGATGTTGAGGGCCTGAACAATGACAGTGGTCCTGGGCATGAAGAGTAGGGGATGACTAAGAATGACAGTTAGAACACAGAATCTACAGACCTTCTCTTGATTAGTTCATGTGTGTAAATCCCATTTCACTAACTCTCTCTACTCTTCTTTGGGACAGGGGCCATGTTAGTAAAATATAACTCAAAGGTAATGGACCTGATATGTTTGCTTCGAAAAAGAAAGAAGGAATGGCCAGAGACATCCAAATAAATGACTATTTTCAAAGCAGTACCCTTGAGAAGCTGAACTCTTATACCCATTATGCCATGGCCAAGAGTTGTTCTCCACCTGTTTAAGCACTGTAATGAAGGGTCAAATATCACTTCCTCTGGATTTATTCTGAGTGGTGGAAAGTATTTATCTTCTGAGTGGTGGATTTGATATTTTCAAATAATAAAACCAATATTTTTCCAGATTCAAACATAAATTAATGTTTTTGTGTGTGTGACTTATAAACTTATTCCATAAAGTTTGAAGCAATCTGTAGAAACAGAAAGATTAGTGGTTGCCTAGGAATCAATTGGAAGTCTGAGGGGAGATGAAAAGTGACTTATAGAAGGTGTAAGTTCTCTTTTTTGTATGATGAAAATGTTCTAATATTAGATCATGATAAAATTTAGTAAATTGTACAACTCTAAAAATTTACTAAAGGCCATTGAATTGTACACTTTAAATGGGTGAACTTTATTCTATGGAAATCATACCTCAATTAAGTTGTTAAAGATGTTTGTAGTGCTAGTAGGGTCCTAGGTTCAGGGATGCACTTCTTTTAAAGCATGAGTCTCATTACTTTATGATTAGATTTTCTTCCCATGTCCATCCCCATCGCCCATAGCACAGTACTAGGTCCATAGTAATTGCTTAATAGTTATTTGTCCAGCATAACTGAATGTAGTGTAGTACTTGATTTCATTCCATTTCAGAGAAGATAGTGATTTTTTTTTAAAAAAATATTTATTTATTTTTAGGGAGAGGGGAAGGGACAAAGAAAGAAAGGGAGAGAAGCATCAATGTGTGGTTATCTCTTGTCTGCCCCCAACCAGGGACCTGACCCACAACCCAGGCATGTGCCCTGGCTGAGAATCAAACCAGATACCCTTTGCTTTGCCAGCAGGCACTCAATCTATTGAGCCACACCAGCCAGGGCGAAGATAATGATTTTATTAAATAGCATGTATAAGTTCTTAGATGTTTTTATGTCCTAATCTACAGTATCATTTTATGGGTACTTTTAATAAATGTCTAGTTATGAACAGTCCTTTCTGTTTCCAAACATAATCAATCTTGAATATAAACAGCATAGTTATTACCAGTACCTTAATTAATATATTACTATTTGATACTTTAGTAAAATGTATCATTATCCATATAAATTATAGACATTACATGGGAATGTCATTCTAATATTTTGTTATTGACTGTGGCATCTTAATTTTTAGTATTACATAAAAGGATATCAATAAATTTTAACCTCTCTCTCTCTCCCTCTCCTCCCTGCCCTTACTCAGGAAGCATTGTGAGTGTTGGTGACCCAAAGAAAAAATATACAAGATTTGAAAAAATTGGTCAAGGGTAAGTGATTGTTATTTGAAATATTAAAACATAAATTCCAAAGATATACTGTGAAATTCAATAACAGCTTGGATTTCTGGTATACTATGCTGCTCATTTCCTGGGTTATATTCATGTTTGCATACTCAATGTTGGCCTTTCTGGTTGGCTTTTATTAATAATTAACCAAGGACCATATCCTTTTGGAATCTTCACTATTGTTGGGCTGACACTGAATTTTTAGGGGCATTTTGATCCAGTATATTTTGATGATTCAAACAGAGTTCTCTAGAAAAGCAGTAAGGTTATTAAAAACTTGTAGTTTATATGAAAACTCTCTTTATCCCTGTCCCCCTACATCTATATGAATATTGTGCTTAAGATCCTATTTCCTTATCAAACTAGAAAGTGACAGAGTGAGGGTAGGGGAAATTCTTATTGAATGATCCAGAGGTGGGCAGAATTAACTATCCAAGTAAGGACGAAACCAATCAATAATTCCTAAAAAATAGAGACCATCATTTTCATCTATTATGCTTGTTAAGAATAAAGATTCCCAGGCCCCACTGTCAGAGACTTAATTTAGAAGTATGGAGTGGGGACCAGGAAAATGAACTTTGGAAAAGTTCTTCAGATAATCCTGACCATTAGTTAGACATACAAACCACAGGGCTAGATCATTTACCAGAGCTAAAGATAGGATTTATCAGTTCTACAAGTCAGCTGTAATTACATATGTTTCTCAGCCCTCAATGTGAAAGTAAACAGAGGGGCTTGAGTAGGCAACAGTGTTTGAAACAGGAAAAAGTCTTGTTTAAAGAGAAATGAAGTGTTCTTAAGGGCTGTCCCAAATTGAAGAATGGGACAAGATATTTGGGTATACCAATTAACTGTATGCCAGGAACCAATTAGTATCTCAGAAGTCTCCTGGATGAAATAAGGAACTGAGAAAGAAAGGATATTCTAATGTGCCTGAAAAATTGTGCTAGCCCCTCAGCCAATAGTTTGTTTTTTGATAAGGGAATGTAGGATTTCTTCAAGTACTTCATTGCTGTTCCTGGAATTCTTAGATTCAAAAAATTATATATTATATATATAATATTATATTATATATCAAAAAATTATATAAACAAAAAATATAAACAAAAAATTATATAAACTTGACTATTTTTCATAATTTTTATATTTTATTTATTTCCCCCTAGCTTTTGAACTAAAGTTTCTTTTGAAATTGACAGGTTATCTTGGGGAATATGGGAAACATTCATTACATTTTGGCTAGAGGGTAAGAGGGATATATCTTACCCCCTGACTTGTGGGGATTGTGATTTGTGGGAATCAAGGTAAGGAAACCCTGAGAGGGAGGCATAAACTTAGGGAGATATGCATAGCCAAACTTCTTCTATTAAAAACCATAATGGTGTGGTATTTCTAGGAGGCTAAAATATATACCTGTTTGTGCTTTTGCTTCTTTCTTTGTTATCTGATATCACTGGTATTCTCACTTGTTCATAAAAAAAGTGTTTTGTGATCTCTAGGGACCCCCTATCACTTAAACAATCAGATAGTATATCTGCCCATTTCTCTATAACAGTGCTGTCCAACAAAACTTTCTGTGAAGAAGGAGATGTAGTATATCTGTATCATCCTATATGGTAGACACTACCATGTGTGGCTATAGAGCACTTAAAATGTCTAGTGCAAATGATAAACTATTTATTTGAACAATTAATTTTCAGCACACATATAGATGGGTATTGATGATGTGAGCTCTTGAGGAACTTAACGTCTACAATGATAAATGTTTGACAGAGGGCTACATAGACTGCAATGAGAATATCAAGACAAATCTACTAAATTCAGCAGCAGAGCTGACTTCTATAGCCATTATTTCCCACCTGGAGTTTTCCTTCTTCACCTCTGTTGGACTGGTTTTTGTACTTAGACAAGGAAGCCATACCTTCTCATTTCCATATGCCAACCTCAAATGGCTTTTTTCATGCCCCAAGATAAACTCTACGAGGTAGATTGTAAAAACACAATATTGTGTATTAAGAAGATTCAGAAAATAAAAGTTGGCTCTTAGATTTTATTTTAATCAGGTGGGTCTTAGGTGGAACTAACAATAGGAAAACATACACAATCCACAAAGAAGTAGCATTCCAGATCTTTGCTGCCCAATACAATAACCATGTAGCTATTGAGCCCTTGATATGTGGTTGGTCCAGATTGAGATATGCCATGAGTATAAAATATGTACCTGATGTCAAAAAGTTAAAAATGAAAAATGGTACAGAATATTAATACATTTTATATTGGTTTTATGTTGAAATAATATTTTATATACATTGTTTAAAATATATTAAGATTGGACTTCCGGCCAAGATGGAGACATAGGTAGACACACTGTGCCTCCTTGCACAACCAAGATAGGGACAGCAATAATTTAGAAACAGAGTAACAAGCAGAACTGACATAAAATTGAACTGTATGGAAGTTGGACAACCAAGGAGTTAAAATAGACACGTTCATCCAGACCAGTAGGAGGGGTGGAGTCAGGCAGCCAAGCGCAGGTCTGGGCGCAGAGAGCAGAGAGTTTTGGGACTGGGCACATAAGGCATCTGGGGTGTGAAAGACTGTAGCAGGTGGACCCTGGGCATGCGAGTGGCAGCAGGCAGACCCTGGCCAAGGGTGGCAACCGGCAGACCCAGTAAGGCAGCAATTGTGAAGCAAGGCACTGCGTGCAACCCAGGATCACAGCACTGGAAATAGAGCCTTGGGGCACTGATTGAAAACACCTGTGGGTGTTGAGGTGCAGGGAAAGACTCCCAGCCTCACAGGAGAGGTCATTGGAAAGTCCTATGGGGTGCACAAGACCACCTACATGGGAATTGGCACCAGAGGGGCCCAGTTTGCTCAAGGGAAGTGGCGGAAGGGACTGACGTCCGACAGAGAGTGGAACAAGCGCCATTGTTCCCTTTTGGAACCCACCCCCACATATAGCTCACAACCCAGCTACTGGGTTACCCCCACCCCCAGTGAACACCTAAGGCTCCACCTCTCATATATAACAAGTGCAACCAGACCAAAGGGAGGGGGAAGATGGCTCAAACAGAATTGAAAGTCCCAGAGCCAGTTTTTTTAAGCAACTGAGAGATAGCCAACCTATCAGATGCACAGTTCAAAGCACTGGTAATCAGGATGCTACTGAATTGGTTGATTTTGGTTGCAAATTAGATAAACAAATGAAGGCTACAATAAGTGAAATGAAGAAAACTGCACACAAAACCAATAGTGATGGAATGAAAGCTGGGTCTCACATCAATGGAGTGGACCAGAAGGAAGAAAAGAACAAACGACCAGAAAAGAATGAAGAAATAAGAATTCAAAAAAAGGAGGAGAGGCTTAGGAACCTCCAGGACATCTTGAAACGTTCCAACATCCGAATTACAGGGGTACGAGAAGGAGAAGAGGAAGAACAACAAGTAGAAAACTCATTTGAACAAATAATAAAGGAGAACTTCCCCATTCTGGCAAAGGAAAGAGACTTCCAGGAAGTCCAGGAACCTCAGAGAGTCCTAAAGAAGTTGGACCCAAGAAGAAACACACCAAGGCACATCATAATTACATTAGCCAAAGTAAAAACGAAGGAGAGAATCCTAAAAGCAGCAAGAGATAAGGAAACAGTAACCTACAAAGGAGTTCCCATAAAACTGTCAGCTGATTTCTCAAAAGAGACCTTGCAGGCAAGAAGGTGCTGGAAAGAAGTATTCCAAGTCATGAAATGCAAGGACCTACATCCCAGATTGCTCTATCCAGCTAAGCTTTCATTTAGGATGGAAGGGCAGATAAAGTGCTTTTCAGATAAGGTCAAGTTAAAGGAGTTCATCATCACCAAGCCCTTATTATATAAAATGTTAAAGGCACTTGTCTAAGAAAAAGAAGATAAAAAACATGTATAATAAAATGACAGCAAACTCACAGTTATTAACAACCACACCTAAAACAAAAACAAAAAGAAACTTAGCAAACGACTAGAACAGAAACGGAACCACACAAATGGAGATCACATGGAAGTTAGCAACAGGGGAGTGGGAGGAGGAGAGAGGGGGACAAGGTGTGAAGAATAAGTAGCATAGATGGTAGGTAGAAAATAGACAGGGAGAGGGCAAGAATAGTATGGGACATGTAGAAGCTAAAGAACTTATGACACATGGACATGAACTAAAGAGGGGGAATGTGGGTGGGAGAAGGTGTGCAGGGTGTAGGGGAATGAAGGGGGGTAATGGGACAACTGTAATAGCATAATCAATAAAATATATTAAAATATATTAAGATTAATCTCACCATTTAGACTTTTAAAATATAGCTTTCAGAAAGTTGAAAATATAGCTCACATTCTATTTCTAATGGACATCACTGATCTAGTTGTAAGTTTAAATATGAGAGTTATTTATTTATGTATGTATTTATTCATGAAATAGATATTTTAGAGTTGTCTTTTGGGGAGTGGGGAATAGAAGATGTTGCAATTTTGTTTTGATTATTTATTCCCACTAAGACCCAACTGAGCCAAAAATAGCATTTATTTTTAAAAAAGGAAAAAAGGAAGTGATGGTTTTAAATATCTCTCAGATACTAGATAATGAAGCAAGACTGATTTCTCCAAAAGAAGAAAGATTAGGCCACTAAAGGACTTGTCATAGCAAAGAGTTTTCCCCTCTTGGTTGACATTTATGCTTCTGATCTCTGAAGGTGCAAAATGAAAATTCTCTTTTTCTGCATACCTTTGTAAAGCCTTCATAATCTAAAATGAAAAATTAAAGCAGAAATACTGCTTGTCACTGCAGAAAGTTCTGTTTTAAATTTCTAGCAAGTTTCTCACTTTAAAGAATAATGAAATCAGCAGGTGTTTTACTCAGAGGCCCAGTTCAACTTTTAAATAAGTCCTGAGAAGGGAGGGAATTCTATTTTATTCCTCATTTTGTCTCTTAATGTCTAGCACAGTGTTTTTATACTTA